GCACTCGTCACCTTTTTGAGAAATCTCATTGGGGGAAATGAGCGTGCCATGGTTTTTTGGCGCTCAAACACGCAATGGCGAACATTGCAGGATTCATCAAAGATCGCTTTAACAATTCAGGTGCTTAACATCCAGTCTGGGGAATCTAATTTGAAGGAGGCCTCGCTTTGTGAGAGGCTCCCTATTGTACAGGCTTTGCATGATCTTAGATCATGGTCACTGGACTTTGCCTTTTTCGACCAGTGGCACTGCAATTCCCAATTTTGATCAGGTACTCCAGTGACCGATAGACTCCAGATGGGGCGGCTGTGTGCCCAAGGGGCCCAATGCTGGATGCAAGTGCCGTTGTTTGAAGTTCGCTCAAGCCCAACGAACATCCGAACAGGTTGCATTCCTTAATGATCATTAATGATTACTGTAATGGAAGCAGAAAGAGACGAACACTTTGCCCTTCATGAGGGGTTCCATGTTTCAACACACGCAATACATAACTGCAATAACTTTGGTTCGTCCGATGACCTGTAAGAGTCGGTAAACAATTATCACTTTGATGGAAAGGCAGGCCTTTACAGTAATAGGATATACATGGACAAACCCAATGTATAATCCATGTTACTCTTCAGCAGAACTACTTAGCCAAAAAAAAAGAGCCCCCAGGTGGTCATGTTAACCATACATGTTTTAAAGGCGCAGGTGCCATGTAAGCAGAAAAAAAGAGCCCCCAGAGGGCTAACATAGCCTGCAAACCCGTTTCACTTAGTGCCTATGCAGGAATTCCATGTTAGTGGAATGTGTGTTTGGCAGGTTCCATGTTAATGTAGATTCAGAGCCCGGGAGGGCGGGCATCCTAAATTTTCATAAACCCTCACACAGACCCTACGCCTCCTAATAGTGTGTGATGTGTTGTGATGTGTATTGCACGCTCGAAGCTCCCTCGCTCCAAACTCCTGCCGCGATTTCCACCTCCAAGCACTTGTGGTCCAAAGTTGGCTGCGCTAGTATTTACACTGGGTGAACAAAAAATCATTTACTAAACTGCCCCCAGAAATGACGTTTTTGGCCTCGGAAAGGGATGTCCACACATGGCTTCCATCCTTCAAGATAAGCTACAATGAGGAAATGTCACCCCGTGTTCTATGTTAACGGCTGTGTGTGATTCTGTCGGTACGGTAGTGATACAGTATTGGTTGCCCTTCTTACAGTACAGCACTTGTCGTCCAACGTTGGCTACCTAGTATTCACACTGGG